TTATCTTGTCATATTAATTTTCCGATTATCTATTGATTTTTAGAACAAAAGGAAAGTGTACGGAGTATTTTAGAGGTGTACTTAATCGATCAAAAATCGAGGAAATGTCGTTTTGTGGATATATCTGTTTATCTCGACGTATTTTGCAGGAATTTTTAGCATGCGTTTTCTCGCTTCTGACGTCATTAAAAAGAGATGGATGATGCGACTCCCTAGGAGCCTTAAAATCGAACGTAGAAATAATAATGAGAAGCGAAGTGAAAAAGTAGATTCTTTCCATGTGAGAAGAATGTATCTGAAATTTTAGGTTTTGTTCATTAAGTACGATTTATTGTGTTTTAATTAATTTGATTAATTTGATTTCTGTTTACTAAAAACACGATTTACACAAAGAAAGAATTCGAGATTTGCATTACTATAAAGACATGACGCATCGAGTAAAAATCGCTTTGAAATATTATTTCTTTATACAAAATATAGAAAAAGCGAGAAATGTAAAATATATAATATAGAAGATATATGAAAAATATAAAAAATATAGAAAAATATGAAATATATAAAAGAAAAAAAATATGAATGAGGTAGAGTTATAGGCAAGAAAGATACTAAAAAACATCTTATTAAAATAAGCGAAAACAAGAAGAATCTCCTTAAGAGAAAAATGGCACATATGTGCAGGCTTAGGGCGCTAAAGTGCGTAAGTTCATCACTGCGTCGAGTTACTCGCAGCTAGAATCAACGACCGGCGAATTCACGGGCGCGATGTATATACAGCAACGGATCTTCTAAGCTACAAACTACGCCGCGTGACGGAAGCGCAGGAACGGAAGCCACTTTACTTTCGGTTTTCAATATACCTCATTATCCGCCACGATGCGCATTAACGACTCTATCTCGTGATTACTTCGCTTGCGTAATTATTCGGTTATCCTCAACGGCAAACACCCGTTACCACTTCTCCTTTATTTTTATCCCCTAGCTTCATAGCCAGCGCGAGTCTTCTACAAAGAGGATCTTCTGACTTCTGCAAAAAATAAATTAAAGAAATCGGCATGGGAATAGGTTATATAAGATTGGCTCTTAAAAAATTATATATACGTACACATATGAATCGATCTTGAAATTTTTTAAACTTCTTTATCTTAATGTACAGAAGATGCTTTTATATATCATGAATGATCTACAGTAACTAATGTCTCTTTTGATCTCTTTCTTGGAACAAATTTTAACTAATTGCAAAATGCGGAACAGAGAAATCGCGAGAAAATTTTTAATAATTTTTTATAAGATAGACATTCGTGTTAAAACGTATAACTTCTATCTTTAAAAAATATTTTTTTTTTATTTTGATGTATGGATTTGATATATCTGTTATTTTTTGTTTCGAAACTTAGACTAGAAAAACTAGAAAATTTGATTTTATATAAAATCTATTTTTTGCCGCGATATCCAATGCAATTGAATTTTAACAAACTGTTAACGCAGCTTTACACCAGGGGACGCCAGAAAATTGTAGGTATGACTTTCTCCGAAATCGGCGATTTCGCGAAGCTGATATTTTCGAGAACTCCGACATTTCGCAAGCCGTTGTATTATGGCCGGCTATGTGGGCAGTCGAATGTCCGTGTACGTCCCACGCGCGCGTCATCGCATTTCACGCCAAATCGAGCGATGGTATTTACTTTTCACAGAAAAAGAAATATGCATACGTGTCTCTTAAATTATCGAAATTTTTTCTTTCTCAACCTTGAATACGCGCAAATGTACAGTATCTTTCTTCTCACTCTCGTCAGAAAGAAATTTGTCCGTGATCTTTTCTCATCGGGACGTAATCGTTGAAGATCAATCAGATTTAAAAAACGCGATCCTTCGATATATGTTGTTGTAAACTGAAGCTTGAAGCAGATTGTACGAAAAGAACACAGATCGAAAGAACCATCATTGACAATTAAATCGACACTCCTCGTCCAGTGGAGCCAAAATCCTACTTGTTCACATTGATTTCGCATAAAAGGATAACATGGGCGTATCCTGGATGTGATATGACGTCGGTGCACGATGTGTGGTTCCGTAATAGCCAGCGGAGTATCGTCGAGGTCATTCGATGGGCACTCGAGGTCGAACAAGAGACGATTAGGGTGTCTTAGACTCTCGCTCACTTATTCGCCCGTGCGCTCTCTCGCTCGCTCGCAGGTTTCTAAGGACAACGGTTCTCAGGATGTGCGGCGGAGATGGGCTGGAACAGGAATAGCGAGGATGACGTAAGCGCCCAATGTGCACGCACCGCACACATCACACGCGCCTGTATTCGTACGCTCGCACGCACGTACACATGCGCGATTCCGGACCCGTTCCCGTGTTAGTCTCACCGTCACGATGGCGAGAGCATCGGTTCAGTCACCACTGCAAATAACCGAAGAAATCAATACGACCGGCTCTCTAGCCGCTCGCGACGTTTTCTTCCCATCCGAGGTATCTCATCTGGAGCTTCTGCCGACGTAACTCATTATGTCTTGAAAACGCGAAGACACGCAGATGATTCCGAGGTTTACGATCGGAATTGAAATGAACATTAATGAGCACGTCGTTTCACAGAGCTCGTACCTTCTCTCGTATCGAAATAAGGAAACGTTATTATATGGGATTCTCTTTTTTAATGGGGAATAAATTCAAGAGAAAACCGAACTCCGCGCTTCGTACATAGAGAAAATGTTATAGCTTTTTCCTTTTCTCGTAAATTCTTCTCAGTTTTACTACATGTTCTCTAATAGTGCAGCAATAAATTGTCAGAGTTAATTTTATAAATAATAGAGTAATTCTTAAAACATAAATAACACATATGAAACAGAAAGGTAATTTTCGATATGCTCCCCGATTCTATGGCGATCTTGATTACAAAATTCTCTGCGTGTATATCGTTACATTTAGACTGTTCGCATTCTAGTTACGCAGATGGCTCGAAATTACCGACATTAGGGTCCGTGCGTATTGAAGTCAAGATATGAAATGAACAATTCTGAAAATGAGCAAAAGGCTCTCTTTGGTAGCATAACGGCAAGATAATTTAATAATATGCAGAGAAAGTAAGCGATGATTACGAATGAAACTCGTACAGGCAGAAAAGCAAAAAAAAATTTGCTACGTCGTAGCGTCGTGAGATTTTCTAACTCGTATTACGGCGCGAAAGCAGCTCGGTGCTTGATTCATACGCGCGCGCCTCCGTATAATTAAAATGTATTTGCGGTATCTTTAGACGTGTGTTTTTCAGTCAAGCGTTAACAAAGAACGAGGGAACGCGCGCGAGCTCAAGGGAATTCTCGCTTCGACGCGCGAGAGACTTTGGATGCGATTAAACGCCTTGCAGGCGACAGGTCGCGCGAAGCAAACGTTCGTGTCCGGAATCTAAAGTCGAAATTATGTCGTTGAGCGCGCGGCGAAAATTGCAGTGACGACGCAACAACGGTGAATCCGATCTTTACTTTCGCGGGCTAAATATAACTCCTCGAAAATGCATCTGTACCTGCGCAGGCGCCAAGCGTGTCCGAGAAACAATGCGAATAAAAGAATTATTAGAATATAAATAATAAAAAGAATAATAAAATAATTAAAGAATTATTAGAAGAAACTGCTGGCTAAATATTAGTAAGCTAAATAATAGATAAATTGACTTAAAAAAACTAATTAAACAGAAAAGATCGAAATATAAATAAAAACGAAATAAATGATACGAAAAGATAACGATCATAACACGACAGAAGGCAGTCTTATGTTAGTTTCTCGCTTTTCGTGCGTTCACTTGGCGCGAGATGCTATCGCGTCTCTTAATTTAATTCGCAATAAGTCCTCACTTGTCCGCAACATTTCACGGAATAATAACACGCGAGTATCGTGATCTCCGCGAATTTTAATGTCGCTGTAAGTAAATTCGCAAACCGAATCGTCGTAAAAATCGAGAATTCGTTGCGCGGAGGTGTACGCCTCTCCAGGAACATTTGCAGCCCCGTCCCACTCGCGCTGCACCGGAGGCTCGATTCAAGGTGATGCGCGGCTAGTGCACAAAGTGACCGGATGCACCGGCAATAACGTATCCGCTATCAAATGACTCTGTCCTTCGATAGTAGTTCGCCTAGCGAAAGTCGCGATTACGAGCATGATCGACGCGCCGGCGTAACGACGACCTAATAAGAGAAACGTGGCCTATGGTGAAGCTCACCGTCCACTTTGGAGCACCTCAAGATCAACGTACGACCTCGGCGGCTCTCATTGTGCGAAGATCACTGGCATGTAGAAAAGTTTTTGCATGGGGCTACCTGTAGCGTACGGCTATTATAAAACATAATTGCTCGAGTAATTGGCGTTATACAAACAAAGAATACGTTCTTCGTGCTCGTTACGTGTCTCCCAGTGACATCTGCGAGAATTGTACGTACAGTACAGGTCATCTCACGGAGAGAAAAGCGAACGCAAGCAAATTTTACACGAGTGAGTTTAGATGCGACACGTTCCGACCGATAAAAAAAGTCACTATAATATCGGAATTTTATAATACTGAGGTGACTTTAAATTGTATTAGTCACTACGCTTGTACGTAGACATATAAATGCATGTGGTAGTCGGACGATCGGGCACACATGCATGTAGAAAGTTTCGCGTGGGCCAAAGTGCGTGGGTAGACTGGCCTTCAGAGTCCTTCGCTGGAAAAGACCAGGATCGTCAAGCGCGTGGGCTTCCAATGTGGGAGGACTAGATAAAAAAGTGTTTGTCATTATACATAACTGTACCCTAGGCCGATCGCGAAAGTAGCCTCATAAATAGTACTGCATAGTGTAAAATTTCATCGTTGCGAGTAGAATATGATGTATATTACACTTAACATATTTAAAAAGCTCGCAAGAAGGTAAACGCCAGTGGCCATCGACGTGGCCAGAGAAATTTCATGAAATTTGCGCGATTTCTCGACTTGCAACGTGGTGTAAACTGTAAAACATAAGATCGTTATGTTTGTGAAATAAATACAAAGATTATCATTCTTTTTTATTATTAATATGTGTTTTGATTGCGCACAACATAAGTATATACAAAATTGCATAGTAACATATCACTAGCTTTTCTAATCATTTTCCAAATCACTACCGTCATCACTCTCATCTTCTAATTCTGGCATAGGAAAACGTAATAAAGCTGCTATTCCAGTCAGCTGATCCAATTCTGAAAACCAAATCACACTTGAATACATTAAAATCGAGAAGTATAGTTTATGCAACTTTTTGAAAGTTTCCAGCCGCACCAAGTTTGATAGAAATTATTTGCATAAAACTTACGTTCACCCGAGACATGTAGACTTGAAAATAGCTTGATATCACCACCTAAGTCTTTGACATTTTCAACCAATTCAACATATTCCTTTCTTAATCTAATGTCTTGACATCTAAATATAATAACGACATAATAACAACAATGTGTTATAGAATACAATTAACACTGAACAGTGAAGAATCAAAACAATTTACCTGAACAGTTTATCCGATATAAGTAAGGTTTCAACTGCTTGAGCAGCAGCAGCTTTCTCAACATGTTTTTTACCATAAAATGCTCTAGCAGGATCTGTTTGTAGAGTAGTATAAAATGCTTCTAGAGCCTTCACTTCTCCTGCTGCTTTAGTATCAGAAATTCGAGAGATTACAGCAGAGTCGCCCAATACCTCTGTAAGTAATACAAAAACAATTTCAGATAATTTGTATCTTACAAATATTACTACTTGTTCGTATTTTACAGATATACATGTAATTACCTTTCAAAGAATGTTTAAAACCCGAACTAGCATGAACTAGCAAAAATTTACTTTTGTTTTCTAAGATAAGTTTATTATCCGATTTAACAGCTTGCTGTACCATGTAATCCATAAACTGATCTTTCACGAAACCCGGACTGGCAAGAATAACACATTTCACCAGATCAAAATTGATGTGTCTTAATATGCCTTGCATGATGCTTTCGTAAAATCGTGTTAAACCCTAAACATACGTCCAATTCAAATTTTATTCGTGCTTGTCATAAAATATTTATAGTATTGACATATATATAACACTTCAAACCTTTTCATGTTGCGAAACGTTTCCTTTTCTCTTTCTTGGTATAACTTGATCAATCTTTGCACGAACTATTGTCATGTTGGAAGTTATTAAACAAATGTGTGCTATACCTTCCTGCATAATAGCAGCAGCTACATCAGCAGTCTAAAAAAAAAACGGATGTTACAGCAAGTAACATACCAAGTAACTCCATTCTTTTAAAAAGTTATTAACCTGTGCAAGATCACATGCAGTATCAACTCTTTCCAAAGAGATCGAATCCCATTTTGCTTTAGTAATAATAAACTTTCGATTTTGCTCTACATCCAGTGTGTGATATGCTCCCATCTATGTAAAACAAACATTAAGATATTAATGCAGATTCTGATATGGTACTAATATAAATTATCACATTAAATGTTGCAAATGAATAAAATATAATAATAATTTAATAATTATTATAAATTGATTTAATAATCATCATTTAATAATACCTTAACATATTTATTTTCTTCCACATTTCTACCTTTAAGTCTTAGAACACATGCTTGTGTATCAAAGTCGATGTTTTCTACACTTATTTTAAGAGTAGTTCTAACTCTATAGCTGTTAGAACTACCAGTTGCAGATTCCATTTGCACTTTCCTATTTAAGTACAAAGAGAGAATTAACAGAAAATAATATTGGTAAATTGGATATAGTACCATTATTGTAAAATAAAACTTCTTAAATTTACCTAATAGTAGAACAGCTTACAAAATCTCCTTCGCTAATGAGATTATAGGCATGCCACATATCTTCTGTATTCTCAGGAACAAGAGCTACGCTTCTATAAATTCATGAATTATAGGATTGAGTTTATAAATTTAAGAAATATATTATACAGAAAATATATTTACCCTTCTCCATCCTTATCTACATTTCGTGATACTAGCTTCATCTTGACAAATATATTTTTGTTCTATCTGAAAAAATATGAAAAAGATATGAAGACATATATAATATAAATGAAACACTTATTTTGCATATACTGTAAAACTAAACTTTTAAGTTAGAATTACATGTGTACAATGTTAACCCTATCTCTGAGAAAGTTAGTTATATGTGTAAGTATACTAATATTTAGAATGTATATGATAAATATTAATATCTTTATTGTTAAAAAAATGAACAACGTGGTTACTCTATGGAAGAAAATCTTATTATATAGGTTAACTCACGATAGCATTTCACATGACACAATATATAAGAATTATAATAAAGTTATAAATTTACTCTTACATTTATTGCACGATTATATTCCTAGAAAAGTTATCCAATTCATGTTTTACTTTTATTCTTGGTATTGTAAAATAAATTACGCCATATGTCAAACATGATCCTGTCGTTTTTGGTTCGACGATTTCATACCCGTTCAACGTGTTTAGTAGATAACCTCGAAATCGTCTCCTGCAGATGGTGCTCATAGATCTGCTCTTTTAGCTACACTGAATTCCATTGAAACTGATGTAGGGCACACGAATGCAAAAGAGATTAAAGGTATATAAAATAGAATAGCGCAGTAATCAATAAGAGAATATATCAGTTAAAAGGAAATTTTCAGTTTTTCCATTTTTTTAACTAATTTCGTAAGCCAATTTCTCTATGAGTAATTAAAACTAAAAGGATTTTTACTTCGATTTTTACTTCGATAATAAATCAGTAAAAAAACAATTCCATTACAATTTATATATATATACAAATTAAAGAACTGTTCACTTTTCTGAATAGTTGAATAATAATTTTGTGTAACTTTTCATTTACACAATACAGGTCGACAAATTTCATTGAAGATTTTAATATTAGATTAATTCTAATTCATGTAGTTTTGAAAAAAATAAATAAATTTCATATTTGATAGCGTACCTAAAAACTGAAGATTTCAATCTTTAAAATGCTCTCCGAACTATTTCACTATTTTTACATTTTTACCTGAAATTATAGCCTGTTAAATGTTGCATATGTTTTAATACATATAAGAGAAAAGTGTATCTGACTCACAGTTAAATAAACCTATCACCACTTCAAATCTATCACTGACTAAGTTTACACAGCAGCTTAAAACCGGTTTAGTAATTGTATTTAGTACCGGTTTACAATCGTATTTAGTAAACTCTTGCATCCGATTGATATATTCTTTTAGATTTGGAAATATACTCCAATCGGATTCAAGAGTTCACTACTACGGTAGTTACTAAACCGGTTTTTAGCTGCCATGTAAACTTAAGCCAGCGGCACATGATGCTTGTTCTCATGCTGGATGGAAATACTCTATTCTGATTGGTCCGTCTTCAGAAATGCACCAATCAGAACAGAATATTTCCATCCAGCATGAAAACAAGCATCGTGTGCCGCTGGCTTTAGTCATGGGGCTGCGTTCGGAAACACATACTGTGTGCACATTACTAGACGATAGCGGTTAGAGTGAGCGAAATACAAGAGTGAGATAAAAAGAGAGGGAGAGTATTCGAGTGATGTTTCCGAACGCAGCCTTACATCGTGCACTTGATACGCGTACTAAATAGTAACTTTCTATTATCCTAGTTTACATCGTGCACTTGATACGCATATTAAATAGTAACTTTCTATTAGATAATCTTAATATCGACAATACATATCAACAGCGACGCATTCTATCACAACACGTTTTGTTGATGAGTATTATACTAACTTAATATACCGTTGTTTTTATATATATATATATATATATATATATATATATATATATATATATATAT